CTTCGCGGCCCCGCCGTTCCCGCAAGCAGCAAGGCAAGGCGGCTCCTTACATTCACCTGAAGGCAAAGGACCTTTTCATCCCCTCCAAGGTTCGTGGGACTGACCCTTTTCTTTGTGTTTAAAGCGCTTCTGCTTTAGCTTATAGGAGCGCGATGCATTGTCCGGGTGAAAACCACACAATAAATAACCGTGCTAGTAAAATCTCAGCAATGGATATGACCTATACAATAGTACATTAAAAAAAAAAAAAGTCAGCTCGGGTGGGAAGCTTAGCTGCGTTAAGAGACAGTAACCAGCAACGACTGGGGTTTTTTTTGCGTGTTTTTGCCATTTACCGCTCCGCGGCGAAGGGAGGTGGTGGGAGACGGTCACTCCGAGCGACAGCTTTGACAGAGGAGGTGGGTTACAGAGCAATCCCCGATTCCATGTGTTAAATTAAACCAGGTTCGTGGTCTTTTAGTTCGTTATCTTTTTTTTTTTTTTTATTTAAAGTGCATCGACTGATCTGATTGGAACGAGCACAAGGAGAAGAGATGCTCGGGAAGAGGGCAGAGGGTGCAAAGACTCGGACTGAGCGACAGAGTTAAGGTGGAGGGGTGCAACGCTGGCAAACTGCCCCCCCTCCAGAAACCAAGGACACCTCAACGCAAATACTGGCCATATATTCTACAAGAAGACCTGCCTGCGTATTGTCGGTCATCTTAACGAGTGCCAAGCTAGCTCTAGCAGATATTCGGAGAGTGCGTGGTGACCCAGTGCCTACAGCAAGTCGGGAAGGTGGCTATAGACAGAGTCCAGGAGGGTCTGGCTGGCTTCCTGGCTCTTGACTCCGGCAATCTCAAATAGCCTGTCCAGCTTGTCTTCAGCCTGCGGGATCTCCTCTATCACGTGGAGCTCCTCGGGGTTGAGGATGTGCAGCATGTCGTCGAAGATGGGCTGCAGGTCGCAGGGGTCCAAGCGCACCTGGCGCAGGACGGTGTCCTTCTTTTCTGTAGGAGGAAAGGAGAGGGTGGTCAAGAAATCCCTCAAGAAACCTCCGCTAACCAGGGCTCGTTCTCTTTGGACACCTTGGTCCATCCCCTGGTGCCACCTCTGGAGAGGGACATGTCACAAGGAGAACTGAGGGAAAAGGTGGAGGGTGATGAGTGACGGGGAGGGGAGAAGATGGAGAAGCCAGAGCTGCTGAGGCACTGAATCCAGGATCCCGCTAGAGCAAACACAGCATTTATAAATGCTGAATGGCCAGCACGGAAAAGTGAAGAGGAAGGGGAGCCAAAAAAGCTGAATTCTGCTCTTTTGAGTTGTTTTCGTTGGGTCAGCTTTATTTCTGCACCCAATATAAATTCAGTAGATCGACTGAGCGCGGCGTTTCACCTTCATCAGAAGCTGAAGAAGATTAAATGCAGCAAGTCAAACGCACTAAACTAAACCCCCTCAAAGAAAGGCGTTGGCTATTGGCGATTTACACCTCAAGCCATGTGCTGCAGCAGGCAGGACGATGGGTGAAAAAAGAGAAGTCAATCTTTAAATGACGTTTTTCTGTTTTCACCTCATGCGATAACCCACAGGCCAATAGTCAGGAGAACCCCCCCAAACATCCAAGGATGCTACAATTTCTCTGGCAGCACCTTCAAAGAGTTAAAAGCCTTTAAAGGTGTTTTCTTCTTTCAGATCTGTATCATCTTTGCTAACAGGATATTCTGGTCTGGAATGAGGATGTGATAAATGTATCCTGGAGAGCCTGTTTCCCCAGTTATTTACTTTAATGGTATCATGCCGGGCAGCTCTGCCACGTGTGCTGACCACAGGGGACACGCCGTGGCATCCCCTTGGTCCTCCTGCTGTCCCCCGGGCTGATTTTGGTACCTTTGGTAATAAAAGAGCCCGTCCGGCTGAGCGCGGAGGAGCCGCTGGAGGTCG